ATATTTATGAATCAAATTCTCATCTGTTTCTTCCTAAATGTTGTGGTTTTAGGGGACAGTTTTGCAACCAGATTTGGACTTTTGGAAAGGAAAGGCAGCACAGCTATAGAGAAGTTGGATAGAAGTGGATAGAAGCTGAGCTGGGTAGGAAGTTGACTGGGACAGGGAACTTCATAGAAGGCTGAGGCCCAGGGAGCAGCATTTTGGAGGGAGAAGATGGACTTCAAAGGGAGAGCACAGGCTGGGGACAGGCAAGAGAGACTTTTAAGTGGACTTTAACTTCTCTAACTAATGACACAGAAGCTCTGTGCTCACCAGTCCTGACCCAGCTTTAGCTTGAGCCTTTTCCTGTTCTCCTCCTAAGAGAAAATAGCTTTTGTTCATTGTTAAGAAGAAAACTTCAGAGTGTGTTCACAAGGGAGCAGCATCCATTGCATGATTGGAAGCCCTTTCATGCTTTTCCTTCTCTATTTCCATCACTGTTTTAGGAATATCTTCTCCTTTGTGACTCTTTACAATTGATGGCCGTGGACCAAAATTGTTCCTCTGATTTTTTTTATTTTTTTTTTTGTGAACTTCCAGTGGGAAACCATAAAGGGTCTAATTCTAAGATCACGATTTGAGGATACTTGGTACTTAAAAGAATCAAGACCTTAGAAAAATTACTTCTCATAGCAGTGGTAAAGCTGACCTAGAATATTTCCAAAGGAAAGTCTTTTCTGTGAAATATTAAGTTAACAAGATGTGTTAAACTCATGTGTCACACTTTGAAAGCTTGAGAGTTTAGAAGTGGGAAGCTCTCTAAATTCACAAGAAAGATGAAAAAGGCCAGAAACAGAGGAACAAGAGGGGAAGGACAATGTAAGGCACTTTTTCTTAGCCCTCTGTGACCAAGGCAGGCTCAGAAAGTTACAGCCTGTCAGACTGATAGAAACAGCTGGCAGTTATTTTACTCAAGTGAGTAAGATTTCAAAAATGGGAAAGACAAGGGCTGCACATTAAAGGTTTCTTAAGCGTTCCAAGAGCTCCTCTTCTACCAATTACATTCTTGTACATGAACCAAAATGCCTTATAGACTCTTGAAAGTTTTCTTTAACACATCTTTCTAGAAATCTCTAACTCCAAAGTGGAAATCTGTAAGTATCTTTACAATATAAAATTGATCTATGAGCAAGTGGCTGTGTACTATTGGCAATTTTCTGGTTGGAAATTTTCATGTGTTATAAAAAGTAATTATTTGATCTTGGAGCAAATTCCAAAACCATGTGAATCCTGGACAGCAGCATAAATGTTGCTTGTGTTCTACTATTTTATTTGTTGATTATTATATATGTAATCTTTTGGGTGAGTCCCTTCAATAATAGGAACAATAGGTATCCTACAGTGGGAAATAAATGAAGACTTTTCATATGCAGAGTGGCACTACTCTTTGCTGCTCCAGCATGACACTGTTTGGACACAGCAGGTTAGCAGAGAGCAGTGCAGACCAGGAGAGCAGCAGCAAAGCTGTGCTGTTCCAGGCCACAAGCTCCTCAGCAGTGTCCTTGCTCTGAGCATCCTCCTTAACACAGGAAAATACTCCTCCCATGACTAAACACGCAGCTGTCTGTCCATTATAGACATCAGGCTCACACTGAGATGAGAGGATCAGCCACACAGTATTGTCATCCTTAAGTACTGAAAATTAATGATATTTTAAATAAATAAAATTAGAACTTTATTTTCTGGTTTGTGGGCTTGTAGGGTATGTTTGAGTGACTTTTCTCAGAAACCGCAAAGGCTGGAAACTTTCCTTCTTTTGTGATTCTCATGTTATTAACTGGCTCCAGATGTTGTAACTGTACAAACACAAGTAGTGGGAGAGTTGTAACTATATCATTCATGTATCAGCATCGGGAAGAGAAATCTGAAAAGGCTGATAGTAATTTCTTCTCCAAGAGGCAACATTCAAGGCAATTAGGTGTAGCTGAGCAGTAAATAGTTGAGAAGGAAAATGTGGCCATGGAGGATAATAAAAGATAGTTTGAGGTTTCTCTGGGACCACTAAATACAGAAGGGTCATAAGATTAAAAGAGAGCAAAAAGAAAGTAGACATCTCACTTGTTTTTCTGCTTCAGCACCACATAGAGAGGTGCTTTAAGAGATGCAGGGGTGCTCACAGAATGCATCTTTGAGAGACCGAAGTCTACTGTAAAAAGGAGAAAATTGTTTCTAGAATAATTTGCACATACATAAAATAGATTCAATCTTTGCATACTCCTTACACTAAATCTGAGGTGTTATATCTGTGCAAAACTCCATATTGGTGGTCTAGCATTGACTAATACAGGTTCTACTAATTCCTGAGAATAGACATACTTGTAGTGAAATGCTTAAAATGTAGAGGCTAAAAAAGATGTCATTAGAGTGATGGATTCTGCAGTAAATGTTCCCTTTGAGAAAATGTGTCATAGTATATATCCTCCTCTATAAATTGTACCAGCTTGTGGTTTAGAAAAACTGAAGGGAAATTGGATATTGGAGTTGGGTTTGCTTCCTTGACTGTGATAAATCCTGGCTTAATAGCAAAATTTAAAACAGTGTGTGAAAAGTATGGAGAAATCAACATATCAGGTCATGGTAGACACAGTGTATTTATGCATTTAATGCTTCCTTTTGGAGTATTTTATCAATACAGCTGGGTTTTATCTGATTACCAGCCTGATGCTCAAGAACATGCACAGACTAACACATATTGAACTCTTGTAAAAGCATTTGGAAAAAATAGCAAGGTATCAATTATTCCATGCAAACTACTGAAGTAAACTGTACTTCAAATGCAAATCCCTCCCAATGCTGAGGATGGCATTTGCCCTCACTAGCATGCAGGTGTAGCCATACTTGGAGACCGATATGAGAACCAACAGCCTTGTAGTGAATTAAAGCAGTGTTAGCAGATTGGACTGGGGCTTAGATAATTTTTTTTTTGTTTAATTTGTAAGGAAAGCAAAACTGCATTTATTGTCAGTCAGTCTAGAACTCACCCCAAGCCTGGTTCAGATTCCCAAGTGCTGTCACCTCCTCTGTGTTCAAGGTGTGCAGAAGGGGTGAGGTGGCTCTACAGGGGCTGCAAGGGGAGCACAGGGCAAGCCCTGCCTGGAACAGCAGCACCAGGACCTGCACTCCCACTGTCACCCCTGCCCCTGCTTGGCACACTGGCTGCCATCTGCGCTACCCATGAATTCTGCACTGCTCATGTGCCGCGAAAAACAACTCCCAGGTCAGACCACGCTTACAACACCTCCCTCACACGGAATCTGGGGCACATTATACACAGGCCTCTGAGATGAAAGGCCAGCCCTGAACAAGCCATTCTCCCATGGAATCCTCTCAGTCAGTCAGTCAGTCTCTAATGAGAAACACTAAGGAACGTGTTTCCAGCTCTTCTCTGGGTTTGGCCAGCTTCTAAAACCTGGCTAATTGTCTACATGTGTATTGTTCAGTTGAAACTCTGCCAGAAAACAGTCTATCTAGCTGGATTTAAAAGTTAGCTCTCCTCCTGTCAACCATGTTACTCTAGTTTAAACTGGAGGTAAATGCCATTGATAATTTAGGTGCATATTCTACTACAATGCACAAAGGAAAACTAAGCCATTTCTTTCAGTTCAAGACCCCACTGGGTTAATGAAATGTTCTTAAAATAAACAGCTCACCTGTGCATTTGCTAGCTGAGTAATCAACATAAGGATATTGCTTTGAGGATATAGCCTGCAAATGAGGGACAAAGTTGACAATTTATACTAATATTTCTGTAGGTAAAATTATATCTGCCTAATTGTAAACTTTTAAAGAAAAATTAAAATGCTCTTTATTGCATTTGAAAGAGGTGAGGTGTGTTTTGTTAACAACAATTTTTAAACTTTTCCCATAACATGTGTTATGCTGTATTACAAGTCAGTTTTCCTTCAGGAACAAGAAGGAAGTTTTTAGAATGAATACAAGTTCACCTTATTCATTGTCACAAATTAAAATGATGACATGTTCTGCCTACAGTAGCTTGTAGATTGCTATCATGTTTCTAGACATAGGCTTTAACTTAAAAATAATTTCTGGAGGCTTTTTGTTTTTGATCAATTATGTTGTGTTGTCCAAAATGAATACGTGTAATAGAAATTTATTTAACTGCAATTCAAGTTGGCTGCTAGCCAGTCTGGTTTTATTTGTTGGATAGCTTAAGTGACAAAAGCAAAAAAAGCTTTTGTGCTTTTTTGTTGCCCTTCTTTTTTACACACACTAAGACTCTTTTTTGCCTACTGGGACTAAAGTTTTGGAGAGCAATAAAACAGTCTATTCCTTGCTATTTACTTTAAAGAGGAAAGCTGCATGGAAGCTCTGATATTTTTGGTAGGCACATGTGGAACAAACATGTGTAATTGTAGGACTGATCCAGCAGAAAGTTTAGCTGTATATCATGGTATGTCATTTAGGGGAATAATCTGAAGTACGAGACAAACTTAAGTGTGTGTGAAAGTGCCGTGGAGCAGAGGAAGTTTTATGTATGAAAATACCCTACTAACATAACCTGTGTGCAATTATGTAGACTATTGCATGCGTCTCTGTGACATGCAAATTTTGCTTTTAATCTTGTCCAGTCTGTTATATCCATGAAAACGAAGAGACAAAAAGTATATTAGTCATTTGCCAGGTGTCTTAGGATGATGAAGTGGCTGATATAGTCTAAGTAGATGGAATATCAGGACTAGTTTGCAATGTGATATATTGAGTGTCTAGTGGCCTTCAGTTATTCCCACTTTCCTTATGAGCTGGAAATTCTTGAGATAAATTAAATACCCAAAAGGTGTTTGGTCTACATGCAGCATTTATTTTTTTTTTTTTACCTTTTTCATCTTTTGAAAATGATTTCATCAAACAGTCTTTCAAGGTAAAACTACTTGTTGAAGATGCTGCAAGAATGTGCCTTGCACTTGTGTAACCAGTTCTGTTTGTTTATTTTTGTTCAGACAGTGCATCAGTACCTCAGGCGGCTTCTTTGTCTCTCAGAGTACCTCAAACCTCATTGCACCTTAAAGCACCCTTCCAGTGTGGTGACACACAGCATCAGGGGCCACCAGGAAAAAGGAAGCATTACAAAGCAACAGCAACCATCTGCTGTGTTTCTGACATTAGTGAACTGCAACAAGAAAAGGTAAGAGGAAACTAAACTATGGGACAGAGAGCTTAAGCAGCAAATTCCTGGATTTGTTTCTGTGCTGTGGAAATAGTTGGAAAGTGTGGCAGAGGTACCCTATGTCTGCTATAATGTATTAAATAAATATAAAGGTGACATTAATGCTGTGAAGTAATGTTAGTAAATTAATTCTTAATATGTCACATCAGTCAGACTATTACATCAACTCCAGTGGAGGTTGGTTAATGAGACACTATTGCTGTAGAGATGGGCACGTGAAACGATGTTTGCCTTCTGCAGAGTGCTGCCTTAGCAGCTTTTTTAAGGAGTGATGTGTTTGCTGGTGTCATGTCATGTGAGGTGCTGGTTACATAGAAGTTCTCTGTTGTCCCTCCTTTCTCCTGAAATGTTCCATAACAGTGCAATACTGTGATGTCCATAAATACTGGAAAATTGTGATTAATGAGACTGGGGAAGGCTCACTACAGTTTTATAAAGGAGGCAGCTGAAGCACAAGCCAAATTTTGCCTGAAGTAGTTTAGTGGCAATGCTAGGAAGAGGAATGATGAGTCTTGACTGTGTTCATTTCAACAAATTGAAATGCTGTACAACCCTTTTCCTTATAAGATTTGACTACAACATAGAGGTTGCTATGTTGTCTAACCTATATAGATTTGCAAGAACAATTTGAAACTTCAATTAGTGAGTCAAGGAAATAAATAAAAAAGAGCTTCTTACAATGATTGAAGAAGACAATACAGTCAAAAATGGTTACTCACATTTGAGGACTACCTATTAAGTTCTTAATGCTATCTAATGTAGAAGAGGGCAAAGAAGCAGTTCTTCTATATATTTATTGGATGTAATGTATATCAGTTTGCTAGTTTTGTAATTCACGTTATAAATAGCAAGAAAAAATCTGGAAAAGAAATACTTAGAAAAATTTAACAAACTAATGCTTATTTGCTTAAGCCTTGAGAGCCTGATTCTGCAAAACCAAACCTTCCTCAAGGGTAGCAAGGAATCTCACCTTTGTGGCTGCTAGGAAAGCTGAAAGTACTCAGCAATGCTTCTCTTGATTGGAATTTAAGTCACCAAAATCATCTGATAGATTACAAGATCCAATGAATTGGAAGGAAAGAGCAGATCTTAGACAAAGTGTGGACTGTTTGGAGAAATTCTGTTATAGCTTTCAATCTGATGTTATATTCAGTTTCGTTATTTTTCCCTTCTGACCATAGTGTGATGAATTGTTTAAATTAGCAGAGTTATTTTATTCCCTGAATAATAATTTAAAGAAGTATTCTGACTTGTCAGGAAAAAAAATGGTGAAATAGCCAACAATTTAGGCATTGTTTCTAGTGTCTGCATGTTCTCACCAGGTGAGTAAAATATTCAGAATAATGAATTATAATTGATATGATATGTGTGAATTCAGTCATACCTGTACAGGATTAATGGAAATTTTGAAGTTAAGTCTTCCTTGAGATACTTCGTATATCTACAAGTGTCCTAATTGTTTGTTCCTTCCACTGCCCTTATGTGTGGGCCCTAGGGGCATGAAATAGTTATATGATAAATATTTGAGCACTTATGCATTGTTATAAGAACAAAGAGATGTGTCAGTTTTGGTGGAAAATGCTCCTTTCTGAGGTAAAAGGTTTTTCTGTGGAAAAGGGTGTCATCAGATAACAGTTTAACCAAACTAAATTAATCCTCCAAAGAAATACAGGAAATATTTGCAACTAAGTGTCCATTTACAAAATGTTCTGAACTCTTTCCTTTGAAAATAAAGTTTAAAGAAAGAAGTTCCCTATTTTTGGGATGAGTAGTATCTGTTAGTGGGGATGAGTGGGAATAACCATGAATACAAATTTGTTTGCATTGTTCAGCGTAAAGCCATCTGCTTTTTGCTGTAATGTGAGAGATGTACAGCTAGAGCCAACAGAGACACCACCATCACTACCCTAACAAAGGTCTGTGATTTCCAAAGGGTATGGATTTCTTTTTCATACTTCAAAGAAACCAACCTGCCTTCTCAGTCCAACTTTAGGGTTGAGACTTCTGAGCTTTTCTTTTAGGGCCATGTTATGAACTGCTGAAACATAGGGGTTTATCACAGAACCCCCAATGCAAGCTGAGCTCTGGCTGTAGTACAATTTAAATTATTTATGCACAGTGCTGTGTTCAGACCATGTGAACATTTGTCCTTGTCAGTCAACAAGTGTTCTATTAATCAAACAGGAACCCTGGTGTGTTCATTACAAAAGTAAGAGCATTGAATTTGGGATGGTATTTTTAGTGCTTTTGACAGACAGGGATTATTAAGCTGTCACTCCCTCTTTTCTGCCAACTCCCCTATCTTCCTCCCCTTCTTCTTCAATGCATTGTCATTTTATTATTAAGAACACACTAATAGTTAAACGACAGGAACCCTAAACCCCTGACTAGTTCACTGACATGACAGGTTATTTTTTCCCTCTATTCCCTGTCCAAGAACCCCTGCTGATCTTCCCAGCATGCAGTGCTGTGTGACCCTTAACATCTGGCAGTGATTAATTGTCTTAGTGTCATAGCGATCGCCTTCCTCCCTCTGATCCTCACTTACTTTGTTCTCTCTTTTAAAGCCAGTGTGCTGGAACCTTTTCTTCCCACTTTTGAATCTATCCAGTATCCAGGATACTGTGTGTGTCTACTGCGATACAACTTGAAAGAAACCGAAACAGTCAGTTATTTGGCCCTGAAAGTCTGGTCATGGATTCAGACGGCTTTCTGTTCACTTAAGGGGTGTGCTTGAAAAACAGCACTAACTAGAATGACACAGATCTTGTTGAACTTGATCCGGATCTCAGGTCCCTTCTGAGCAAACAATGCAATTATGGGCGATGCCATTTTCAGCGGACACATGCGGTATTGTGTCGAAGGCTGTTGGCTGCAGCTTACATGTTACATAGATTAAGGGCCTGACACCTCCTGACAGTAGCTGCTCCTTTGTGCTCAGCTCACCCTGCTGTACCACGCTGCTGCAGAGGTCTGAGCCCTGTCTGGGCTGGGGCTCTTCTCAACTCCCACTGAGTTAGGCAGGTTTCTGCGGCTGCACCGAGGTGTCGTGTGTTGGCTCCAGCGTGTGATTGCCTGGGCTGAGAGATAACACAGAGATGGAGTGTGCAAGTGAGTTTTGTTGGCTGAGCAATATCGTGTGCTCATACCTGCTTTAGATGCTTGTATAATAAGAATACTGGTGGAAGAGAAGATAACTCTACCACTAAGATGTTCTCCTCTCAAAACACAGTAGACTTCCCACATGATTTTCAAGAATAGTTTTAATCTCTGTCTCAGTTTCTCATGTTGGAAAATAAAGACAGTGAATTCTTTGAGCTATAGGAGACTTCGAGTTTTCTGAGACCTTTATTCTTCCTGTATGAATATTAACTATTGCTAGGTGATTATTCATATCTGTCTATTTAAGACCAGCTGCCAGGCAGAGCTCTGGAAGAGGGAGGAAGGAGGCATTTTATGCTGAAGTTCCTTGGTTTGGTTTGTTTGTTTGTTTTCTTTTTTATATTGCTTACATTCAGGATGCCTGTGATGTATTCAGAGTTTGGCAACTTGCATGGGTAAATTACCAACTGCTCTAAACTTCTACTTCCTTGCATGCAAATGCAGGATGAGCTTATAGTTGTCTTTGCAGAAAACTAACCCTCTTACAATTTGAAGATGAAAGGTAAAAATAAACAATTGTTTTAAATCCTGGTTGAATAGCAGAATACATGCACTGAACTTAAACTACTGTTACATTTACATTTTAAGGCAAAATATCTGAAAGGCAGTTTCTCCTTCACTTACCTATTGAATGTTGAGTTCAGAGTCTCTCTGTCTCCCATGACACACACTCCTCACAAATAGATTTCTCCAGAGCAGTATTATGTTCTAGCTCTCCATGTATTTCAAACAACTATAAGGCCATTTATTTTCTATTTCAAACCAAAATAGTAAAATGGAGTGCATGGCCTTTTCTAGTTGCTAAGCAACCCTTTGTAACATGCATCCTGCATTTTGCTGTGCCATTTGGCAATTCACACAAGATCTTGTTTGTTCATTTCCAGTCTAGTAAAATTGGTTGCTATATTTCAAGTGCCAGTATAGATCAAAGTATTTCCTAGAAGGATAAACATGTTAACTGGCACAGAGCGAATGATTAACATCAAGCACAAGCCTTTTAGTATAAAGGACTTGGCATGTCATCCACTGGCAAAGCTACTCAAATGAATGCCATCTATACCTAACAGATGTGCCACTGAGGAGTTATCCTCTTCTTCCCAAAGTACTGCTTGCTGTGCTGGTGTGACTGAATAAGGATGATAGCCACTGCTGAGCTTTGTAAGCAACTGAGCCAAATGCTTTTGTCAGCTATGGTAGTGTATCTGGAGATCTCTGCTGACTTTGCTTGAGCTTCTTCAGTTTTGCATCCATATAACTAATAGTAGAATTGTATTAAACTGTAGTTTCTCTTCCTCTGCCCTTTGTGAACACTTACACACAAAAGAGAGTCTAATGTCTGGCTGTTTAACTTTACTTGTCTCCTATACACTCTAAGTGCATGACTAATGAAAGTTGTCTTTAAGTAAGGAATACTCATTCCTCATAAACAAGGCAGGACATACCTGGGTTTTGCATTTCTGATTAAAAACTATAGATGATCTGGATCCCTGTGCTAGTATTCCATTTGGAGGGGAGGGTTGAAAGAGGGCTGGTCAAGGAATGTTTTTAAAAATAGGTATGGAAAACAATTTTGAAAGCTGCATACGCGCATCTGTGTCTATTTTGTCATTGCTAGCTGCTCGTGCATTTGTGTGACATCTGTAATTTGCAATCTGTGTCAGAATCTCAGTGGCACACTGGGACAAAGTGTACAAGTATACAATGGACCAAATGTCACATAC